TTGTGAATCTTCTTACATTCTCTTTTCACGTAGCGTCGTTGAAAACATACCTTAGCATTTTTGTGAATCTTCTTGCATTCTCTTTTCGCGTAGTGCCGTTGAAAAATGGGAGTGGGGAGTGGGAAATCAAATATGCAGGTCGAATTGGCTCTAACCTCATCCAAATCAACCCAAGGCAGGGAATGTTGCTCAGTTAGAGCAAGGGCAATGAGGCCGTTCGCCTTGGTTAGCATCTAAATATATATTGGCTAGCTCTCAATAACTTTTTGCGATAAACAATTTTGGGACATTTTCAACATGACTAACATAACTTACGTGTACGTTTCACAGCTTTTCAGTCTACCTGCTGTCATTAGTTTGACTGCATACGTTTGTTCATCTTTCTGCAGTTGTGTGATACGTTTTTTGTTTTCACCTGCCAGACGCATGTGCGCTCATACATTTAGCACTCATGTTTACCTCTGATCACTGGTTTGTCAGCAACAAACTACATCCGATGAAAATAACACAACTCGACCCAGGACTCGGTGCCAGCAATGTGGCGCCGCCATCCGACTCCTGTTTCCTGCGTCGACGATACTGACGCGGCCTCACCCGCGGGATAACGAGGGACCAGCTCAAAGGCCAGCGTCGTCGATACGACCGGCTCATTATCTCATCTGATATTCACCTTCACATCGGCGAAGGATCGCGTGCGGCGCGGCCCGCTGACGCCCGCGGATTGTCGGCGGCAGACCAGCCCTGCCCAGATCCCGCAGCACTCGTCAGAGTAGGCTGGTCCTGCCCAGATCCCGCAGCACTCGTCAGAGTAGGCCGGTCCTGCCCAGATCCAGCAGCACTCGTCAGAGTAGGCCGGTCCTGCCCAGATCCCGCAGCACTCGTCAGAGTAGGCCGGTCCTGCCCAGATCCCGCAGCACTCATCAGAGTAGGCCGGTCCTGCCCAGATCCCGCAGCACTCATCAGAGTAGGCCGGTCCTGCCCAGATCCCGCAGCACTCGTCAGAGTAGGCCGGTCCCGCCCAGATCCCGCAGCACTCATCAGAGTAGGCCGGTCCTGCCCAGATCCCGCAGCACTCGTCAGAGTAGGCCGGTCCTGTCCAGATCCCGCAGCACCCGTCAGAGTAGGCCGGTCCTGCCCAGATCCAGCAGGCCAGTCCTGCCCAGATCCCGCGGCAGCCGTCACAGCTGAGCGGCCCTGCCGGCGGTCCCCGAGTCGGACGGAGCACGGGGCGGCCTACGAAACTATGCCGGGCAAATCCGAACCGGGCGGCGAGGCCAGTGAATTCCTTGTTTACCTCTGTTGTGCTGTTTTGTTTTTGGCGTGAATCTTTTGTGATGGATTCGTCGAGGTGCTTACATTCTGAACATTCATTACATTCTGAGTTAAACATACCCGTGGAGGCAATGGGCAGACAAGATACGGTTGAAATTCTTTCGTAGATATCAGAACACCTGAAAAATGACGACTGATGAAAGCGAATGAGATTCCATCCAAGTTTTCCTTCGTTGTGGCAGGTGTCCCGGTGTTTCTATTGTTATTGATAGCTTCTGAGACATTGCAAAAGCAATCACTAGCATACAACTACAACGCTCATACGTTTCAGAAGAACCAAGGTAGTCGATCATTAACTCATATTTTCACCAACTAAACGTTTCCTGCTACTTCGCTAATAACGAAGTGCGCCCGCGTTGCATACACGGACGCAACGTCAACCTTGGTTATTTTCATACCGCACGTACCCAGAAACTAGCCATACCGGGCGCATGTGCCCTGCACCCGATTATAGCCTAATTTACTTCGCATGCAACGCAAATCCACATACCTGCCCGTTATGCACGCCGTCACGTACGCATCCGTGTTCCGTGGCAGGATGTGATCAGGCACAGCTGGCCACTAAGGCCGCGCCGCGCTGCGTTAATGAATGCTGTGTTTTGACATAGGTTTAGGGCCCGTGGCATTGATTGTGAGCCTACACGGCAGGTGGCCCCCGGCTGGACAGCGGCTGGGAATCATTATAGAAATAGCCCCAGCCGGAAGGCCAGGCTGGCTCGCCTGTTAGTACGGTGACTGGTGCGGTGGCAGGAGATTTTGGCTATCAAGGACGCACTTAGATCAGTGACTTAAAATAGGTGGATCCACTTACACCAGTGTCATTCTTGAGTCCGTAAAATTTAGGTAAGAAATATGCGCCAAAAAGGAGGAAAGTAAAGGATAGCCACCGGGTGAGATGACACGCTGAATGATAACAGACGGGTATCGGGTTAGGATGATACCGAGCATAGGCTAGTCAGCCATGGGATCATCGGCCACGGGCTCCGAGCCCCATTGATGTGGTTGAGATTGGTTGATGTGGTTGAGATTGGGTGGTTCAAGTCGAACACGACAATAGTTCCCTGATACCAGTAAAGCAGTGACAGTTATCCCCTGCCATGAACTTTGCTTCTTTTTTTCGGCACTGGTTTCATTACAGTTATGTCATGAGACCAGTACATTGACCAGGATGTGATCTTCCTAAGGGGAGGCAGACCCTTAATTGTCTTGCGAGGCATGCACGGCGTGAAATGCACACCGACCCACACTACTCAATTTCCCTCCAAGCGCTGCCTCGACACATTTCTTATGCCCCAGAGAGGTGCTTCGCGTTTACAGGGGTTCGTGACGCGCGGTTGTCCCTCGCCAGGCCTGCTACCGTGGCGGGTCACGTGGCACAACGTCACCGTTTTCGCCCTGTTCATGGACTTCTTCAGTGGGCCTGTCGCGACCTGCTGCAGCCTGGGTTCCGCCCTGCCCTCCGGTAGCTGCGTGAGGTCTGCCCCGCGCGGCTGGACAGAAATCGGTCCCGGTGCCAGGAAGGCCGGGGTATGGCTGGGAGGACCCGCATATAGGTGTGACCCCAGTCGGAGTCTGGCTGGGGGGACCCGTGCACCCGTGTTACCCCAGTCGGGGTATGGCTGGGGGACCGTGACCCCAGTCAGGGTAAGGCTGGGAGGACCGTGGGCCCGTGTGACCCCAGTCGGGGTATGGCTGGGAGGACCCGTGGCCCCTTGTGACCCCAGTCGGGGTATGGCTGGGAGGACCGTGGGCCCGTGTGACCCCAGTCGGGGTATGGCTGGGAGGACCCGTGGCCCCGTGTGACCCCAGTCGGGGTATGGCTGGGAGGACTCGTGGGCCCATGTGACCCCGGCTGAGAGGACCCGCGTACCCGTGTGACCCCAGTCGGACCGGATCGGTTCGGTGCCCAGGTGGCAGGCGGAGTGCACAGGACACAGCCAGGCACCATGCAGTCACAAGCGGATGAATTGTGAGGAGAGAAGCCACGTGTAATTTGGCTACCTTTGTAAATGTAACATTGCTATGGAGAAAGAAAACTGTTAAGCAAGGCAAGGTAGGCAACGTAAGGTTTGGTAAATCAACCAAAGAAACCAAAACGAAACCAGTCTCGACAAAAGTTGAAACTTAAGCATCGGTGAATCATTATGAGGCTAACCGTACCCGGCCCGCCGGACAAATCGATCTGTGTGTCCCGACATTACACGGCCGGGCGAGGACCGCCGGGGGCTGCCCCCCCCCCCCCCCCTCCCGGCCGTCGCCCGGCGCCGCCCCCGGCCTCGGCCTGCGGGATCGGACTCGGTTCCGAGCGATACCCGCTCATTCAATGATTCAATAATGATCCCCGCGCCTGCCTCTGTCGCCGCAAAAGCGGCGTTCACATATGAAACCGTAATGAGCCCCGCTGGCGACGAGCGATGATAGATTAGCGGCAGCGGTGACGGCCTCCCCGCCCGACGCAGAACACCTCTCCGGTGCCTTCTGAGCTTGCAATGCGCGCGCGACTTCATGACTGACCACAGTTGATAAAGCATGTCAAATAGCACTCGCCCCTCTTGTATTCATGATAAGGGTAACCTACACGGTTGGTGGCGGCACGGGCGGGCGGTGACGGACGGGTGACGGCTTGGCAGGACCCGTCACAAAAGGAGGAAGAGGTAATGCATGAAAACGCATGACGCCCAGCCAGTCGCGAGTCGTGTTCAGTTACGCCCAGAACGCTCCGTACCTGTAAGGAGACGCCCGGGCTTTCCTCGTTAGAGGAGAGCACGCTGGCGAGGCCGCCGGTGATTGTCGCCAGGGGAGGCACGGAGAGCAGAGGTCGTCAGCACCGACGGCGCCCTCCCACAGCGGCTCGGGCCGGCGCACGCTGCCTCTGCTGACTGGTGCAGGTCATGCTCACAGGCGGGCCAGCTGGCATCACAAGTTTGGTTGTATTTGCCCTGCGGTGGCATACATCAATGCTTTTTGCCTGGTTTGTGGTGTTACTGGTTGCCGGAACGCCTGCGTTTTCGAGCGAACACAAAATAACCAGCTGATAATGGAAATGGTGTGGAACATTAAAAAAACCTTACAATGAAGCAAAAGTATTGGGGAATCGCACCCAGGCCCCTCCCATTTTTAAGGAAAGCCTTGTGAAATAAAAGCTCTGTCTTCCATGTCATAGAAGTCGCCGAGCAACTTCGTCGGTCAGTGCATCGTAACTGTCCCGGCCCGCCCGCGAGCGACATTTGATGCCTCTGCGTGATACCTCTCCGTGCTCCTGCATACTGGAACACCGCTGCATGTCTGATGATGCCACTTGGGACATCGTAAAGTCTATATATAGCTTACAATCACATATACATTACTAAGCTTTCCAATGAGTAGCAGCGCAGCGCCGTTGGACCTACACGTGTGCCGTGGTCAGGCGCCAGCTGGGAGCCTCGTGACGGCGTCGTGCGGGTCCCCAGATCGCTGTCTCACTGGGAACAGCCGTGCGGCGCGCGTGTGCGCTTGCTTCATGCTGTCTCCGCACTGTATCTCCGCTCTACAGCCACCGTGGGTGGGAATGTGGCCTCTGTCCCAGTCACGCAGGGCGTGTCTGCACAGAAACGTAATGTAAGCCGGCCAGCACGCCCTGCCAGTGCCGGTACTGCAAAGAGCGGTGGACGAGATGTGCAGACAAGTGCAGCCAACAGACGCATTTATTTACACCGTATCTACACCACTCCCATAAATTAGTTCTATCAAGTAAATAACAGACAACACTCGGTCCTCCTGTGCCCTGGACGCAACTGGCAGTAACAAAAATACTCTCTTCCCCTGGCCTCCCTGCTGCGCCGGCCCTGCCGAACACGCCCGTGCGGCGGCGGGTCCGCACGCGACGACAGTGGCGCCCCTACCGGCTGGAGCGAGCAAGGCCACGGCGCGCCGCCAGGCGGCGCGCAAGGACGGCGGAATGAGTCCGAAGGCGCACAGATATGGAAACTAGAGAGGGGCCACACGACGGCTGGCCACGCCCTCCCCCAACCGACCCCCACACACAACAGGCCAGCCGGCCAAGGTTCATCGGAATGTTAACACCCTCCCGACAACCACGGCGGCACCGTGCAGTCTCGCGTACCGGGAAATCTAGCCTAATTGTGCAAGTCTTCAGGCATGGTTGTCCCTTACAGCCTATGTCTTCAGGCATCCCTCTGTTCACAAAACTACGAACCACACGCAACAGTACATCAAAACAATGAAACACTTGCGTTTAATTAAAGTCGCGTGTAACTTCGATGTTCCACATTCGCTTGGTGCACGAGTGACGACGGCCCGCCAAACAATGCATAGACGGTTAACACCTGTGCATATTCAAGTGTGACCGTACTCCCTGTGCCACGAGCAGCACATCTCTGAGATACATGGTAATATCGTGGGCTCCAGTCCGCACGGGCACGGCGGAATGAAACAAACATGTCTGAGTTCGGCTCACATGATCACACCGACGCGCACGCCATAAAATATCACGTCATAATATCAGCGGCGGAGGTTTTGATTTCTGGGAGCTTCACGGAGCTCGGCCCGAAGCGGCCTAGGACGTGAGCACAGCACATAAAGAGAAGCGGAAGCATCGGTGCACGGCTAGCCAAGCTAACAAAGTCGGCAGTCAAAAGCGCTCAGGAAGCGGCCACATTGTAGATAACAAACCCACCTTATCTGCTTCACGCCTGACTGCAAAACGCAGCATCACCGTCCGAGTCCCGGGCAAGAGGGGGCATGACAACGCTGCATGTAATTCCCCACCGATCGGCGTCCCCCCGTTCAGCTGCGTAATTACAGACGAACACACTACAATGAGAAGGTGCGCGCGGCCAGCACTCGCGTGCCCTGTGTGAGGACCCACCAGCGGACCGGGCCGGTGCGGACGGGGCATCGCGCGCACCGAGCGGCCGCGCGGCCCGGCCAGCACCCTTTGATTCTCACTTGAGCAACAGGCGGCCCGGCGGCCGGTCCCGCAGCCGCGCGCCAGCCGCCGGCGCCGCCGGCATTGCACACCACAATTTGTACAGTGCAGGGGCTCCGCTCACCCTGAGCGCCCAGACGCTAGCCACCCCACTACCATAGACAGACGCGCCGGCGCCCGCGGTGCACATTTTGATATGGTTACCTTTGTCATGAGGCGGAGACAGACCGTGGAATGCTCCGTTGCTAGATCACAATCCGTGTGACGCGCGCACGCTCGCGCGCTAGGCCACCACGTCCAGCTCGCGGGCATCGTCCGACTCGTCGCGGTGTCGCTTGATGCCGTCTTCGCCGAGCTCGCGCTCGAGGGCGCCGCCGCTCGGGCGCCGCCTACCAACCACTAGTTCCATCGGCTGCCGCTGCACGTCGCTGGCGTCGCCGTTGGCCCGCTGCCGCTCCGCCTGGCCGTCGTCTTCGTCAGTGGGCGGCGCGGCCGGGTACAGCGGCAACGGCGACGGCGGCACAGCGCCCACGGAGCGCGGGTAGCGGCGCGGCATGGTCGGGATGCCCAGCTTCTTGATCTTGTCGTAGAGCGTGCGAGACGGCACGTGGAACTTGCGCGACGCCTGCCGGAGTGAGACGGTGTCAGCAGGGCTCAGGCCGGGCTGGACCGGGCCGGCAGCCACAAGGCTCTCACGAGGGGTCCTGACAGATCAGAGCGGGATTAGCCCGCCTGAGAAGTGTTTTCTTTTTAACAGCTTTAGCACTCAATCGGCGCTTTTTTATGATGCTTTCCCCTTCTCTGGCCAATTCGGGACAGACTAGCGTGTTGCACACACAATGTTGAAAATGACATGAATTGCACTCTAGAAGCCCACCATCACATGTTTTAGTATATACTTCGCTACATGAGACTACGGGACACATGTTCACGCATTCTATTCAGGAAACCATATGCACTAAACCCTTTGACTTAACGGTGGCAAGGAATACACAAGCTGGTGTAGGAGCCGATGGCATTTCATCACACGCTAACCTCAAGTTTTCGAACGGCTGTTTTAGCAACGGAAATCGAAATCGAAGATGGTGATCCAAAACAAGTGCGTGTTATAGATGGCGCCAGACCCGCGTACGAGCAGTGCTGCCACCTAGCAACCACCTAACGTGTGGATCTTTGAGTCACTTCAGATAATCGTTGCCAGAGGCATGGGAACTAGCAGAGCCAACGGTGGCTGAGCCCTCCCCCAATCAACTCCACTCAAACTAACGCATTTGCGCTAAATGAAAATATAACCGGAAACCTTTCAGCCCGCCAACTTGAAGAGGACTCTGTTTCCCTGGTCCTCGGCCCCCAAATGTCTGCGTCGGCCCCAAAGTCAGTCAGTCGTGTATGAAAAACAGCATTTCTTTTTTTAATAAACACGCTGATGCCCATGTTTATGCGGCTTCTGATATGATCTAGATGGACCAGGATTTGCACAATAAACGGTTTTTGTCGCACTTGGCTCCCGTCTTCATCTGTTGTTTCCGGCACGTCTTTGCAAGAAAAACGAGGCAAAAACTCACATATGGGCCATAACACAAGCTTCATGACACGAAATCGCTGACGTGATGTCTGCGTTCTTTTGAAGACCTCTCCAAATTACGCATGCCTCCTAAGCATTTTATTCTCCACAACCTCCGACCTCTGCGCTGCCGCTAACGCAGCACGGACACCGCTCGTAGCGCGCCCGCTCGCACCAGCAGCGCGCCGCCACCGGTGCCCAACTATCCTTTCTCACCCGTTGCTCCCGGTAATTCAGGCCACCTCTCTCTCCCCAGCTGGCCCAGACCCTCCCCCGGTCGCGCGGTGTTCGTACCTGGAGGGCGGTCATGCCGCCCTTGACGGCGTCGAGCGCCTGCTGCAGGTCCGTCTTGCTGTACTGCTTGTACCGCTTCCACTCGGGCCGCATCGGCGTCGGCGCGAAGTTTATGTAGTTGTTCATGTAGCTCGCTGCCGGCAGGTGGTGAATGGTCAGACCCCACACGCCCAACACCGGCGACGTGCGAACGAGCCAACGAGGTGAGGACGCGCTAATGATGAGAGAACGGGAGAACGAGAAGCGAACGAGTGCACGAAGCACAGACGAGCAAACTGGGAGTAAACACACAACCCAGTACAAAAGAGCAGACAGCGAGGGCGAGCAAGGCACAGCAAATGAGCGCAGACAATAAACGAGCAAAACGTAATGCCGCAAAAGACCTCTTTACGACATCACATCCCAGGCGCCTTTTCCCTGGTGCCAACGCCGTCCGCGCGCGGCGCATGCGGTACCGGTCCAGCTTGCACCACTGCGGCGCCGGTGAGCGTCCACCCATCCATCGCCCATTCACCGAGCGTCCGCGCACGCCGCTGCGCCGCACGCGCGCACCAGAAATGTCGCGTTTCACCGCGCTCGGAGCCGCACAAAAACGGCGCCGCCGGTGGCCGGCGGGCCGGGCGTCGGCCGCGACAACGGCGGCGACGCGGCCGCAGCACCAGCTGACGACCGCCGGAGCGGCGCCGGAGAGCGCTGCCGGGCGGCGCGCCCGCGAGGAGGGGCGCGAGACTCGAGGCGGTGCGGCACCGGAGAGCGCTGCCGAGAGCGCTGCCGGGCGGCGCGCCCGCGAGGAGGGGCGCGAGACTCGAGGCGGCGCGGCACCGGAGAGCGCTGCCGAGAGCGCTGCCGGGCGGCGCGCCCGCGAGGAGGGGCGCGAGACTTGAGGCGGTGCGGCACCGGAGAGCGCTGCCGGGAGCGCTGCCGGGCGGCGCGCCCGCGAGGAGGGGCGCGAGACTCGAGGCGGTGCGGCACCGATGGCGGAGAAGCCGGGACCGCGGGGCCGCCGAGGTCAAGAGTCCGACACACCGGCCAGGGAGCCCACGGAGCCCAGGTCACGGGGCCCCAGATCACGGGCCGAGGGTGACAGCTCTCCACTCCAGAAGGCCCTGGACTGCGGAAGCCCCGACTGCAGAGGACTGCCGCGCGGCGCGGGCGCCCGACAGCGGCGGCAAGGCGCCGCCGGAGCGCCGACCTCCGTCTCCCGCCGACGGCGCCTCTGCCGCCTCCGCCACGCCGTGTCACGCGGCGGCGGTGTCGCCGCCTGACGCGCATGATCTGTCTAATGGCGGGTACAGTTAGCCGGGGGCCGCCGCTGATTGCCGATGCTGCGCGGCCGCGCGCAGACGCCGCGACGGCTCGGCCTCCGCTTATTTCCGCCAGTCTCGCCGCGCCGAGCGGCGCCCGGCTAATGTGCAGTTCGGCGGGACGGACCGCCGCCGCCGCCGCCGCCGCCGCCGCCGCCGCTGCCGGCCTGCACCGCGCCGCGACAAAAACGGCCGCCCACCGCTGTCGGCGGGAGCGCGGAGCGACGCGCCGACAGCCTGCCGACAATCGGCCGACGCCGGGAGGAGCTGCCAGGTACCGGGCAGGCGTGGGGCACCCATCGAGCCGGCAGGCCGAACCCGCCAGGCCGCGATGGGCTGGGCTCAGCATAGCCCAGTGGCCTGAACAATGGAAGGTGCCCGCGACGAGGCATGTACCAGCGTCCAGACTGAGAATGAGAGGTGAAGGCTAGGGTGAGTAGCATATTTCGTGACACATCCGGCCAAAGGGATTGCTGTTAATCCCAACAACGAGCAAGAAACGACTGTTAAAGAGGACATAGGGCCGGGAGCTACCAAGGCTGCACCAAGCCAGTGGTGTCGCCAAGGGTGAAGCCACTGGGGCCATTATCCCCCTGGAGGAAATCGTGGAGGAAGGGCTGAGGCCGATGGGCCCAAGTACCTTTAGCAGTGTAAAGCACTCGTGGGGCGACCCGGTAAACCAAAACGGGCCCGACGTACCAAAACTGGACCCGAGCCTGAACAAAATCCCACGAATCCAAAGATAGGACCAAGCGCCGATCGGAGCGGCTGTGTCACACACACACACATAGCACCCCCGGTCGCAACATGCGAACAAGCGAAGAATGCGACACCCGGGACAGATGTACGGGCACAGGTGTCGGGAGCGCGGCGGCAGCTGGGCTCTTTGTGATGGCAGCTTCTCGACGACGTTGGTAGCGTAGCAAAACGTGGGCTCCAATAGGAGCCCGTGTCAACACCGGATGTGCATACCGCTGACGAGCTAAACATGGTTCGATGAGAGGTAGTGAGGATATGGCTAATTGGTCTCGTTATACGAACAGATACGTTTGCTGTAGGCGCTTCGATCGCTTTATCAGACAGCGCTCATCATCATAATCATCATCATCAACATTGTCAGGGGTGACCACGGGAAGCATGGCGCCCGGCGTATTCCAGAGCCCATCCCCAGACCGTCACCCCGCCACCTCCGGCGCTGCCGTCATCTCCCAGTGGCCGCGTCTCCCGCCTCATCCTCCTCGGTTCCCGCCGCCGGCCGCTCTCCGCCCGCTCGCCGCGACCCGACCTGCGATTGACGAGGCGGCGATCGCAGCGCGGCTCCCAGCGCCGCCGCCGCACATGCCGACCGCGCCGCGACAAAAACGGCGCGCTGCAACGGCACGCGGGGCGCGCGGCGTCCGGCCTGACCCGGCGCCGGTGCCGCGCCGCCGCCGCTGACCCGCGCGAACACTGACCTGGCCGCGCCACGGCGCCGCGCGGTCCCAGGCGGCGCGCCGCTTTTTGCCGCCTGTTTACGTGTTTCCCATTCATGCAGGCCAACTTTATGGGCCTTTCCCTTTACGAGCGGGCGCCATGTGAGAGGTGCTCTCATTAAATATTGAACCCGGCCGGACGATTATTAATACCGCTGTGAAATTGCCGTTCGGCCATGTTGATGGCGGAAGGCATGGCCGGCAACGCCGGCCGTTGGCGGGGTGGAAGGAAGGGTGGACACGGGCAGCTCAGCTGCTCGGCTTCACGATGCAGCGCCGAGCCGAGCGTCGCGCTAGTATTGCTGAAGGCGAACTGCTGAATCTTCCGCAAGTGATCTGTCCACTGTCGAGTTCATGACATGATATCCTGACTCCCCAAGGGCGGTCAAGGGACAGGACCAAGGTATCGTGGTTTGACGGATGCCCGAGTTCGCGCACGAACGTGCAGTCCGAAGCGTCAAATGAGATGTCAGCTGATAAGACACGGCAATATAATGCATCTTGTTAGATAGAACCACATGTGCAACATAGTGGCCAATGTCCCTTCAGAGCTACGTGCAGAAGTCGGTAACCATACATACAGCTTGCCTGACCTGAAGCAATGCAGGCATCCACCGCTCACAAAGAAGCCGCGACTCTCAAAGCGCACTGATAATACGATCAGTTCCACACGCATTCGGTTCTATACATCTGCAGGTCTATAAAAAGCGCCTCACATTACCATTGCTCGCTTTCGGTGCTCCATCTCATGCAAAAGAAAAGCGAAATGCACAAGCGCTGCAGCAGTAAGGAAGGAGGGGATGGGGGCTCATCAAGCCCGAAAAAGCGGACCGACGTGGCCGGGGGGATAATATGTAACGACAGTGAGGACGGAAACACAGTGAGGACGGAATAGCGATGAGAACAGAACGACAGTGGAGACAGAGCGGCAGTGGGGACGGAACGGCGATGAGGACGGAGCGGCGGCAAGGATGAGGCGGCGGTGAAGACGGAACCACGGAGAGAGGACGACCGATGCGATCACTGCGAGAAGCACCTCAGCTCGCCCGTTGGCACGCACAGTCGTTTCTGCAAGCGCCGTTTTTGTCGGTAACACCAGCCAGGCAGGACGGTAATCAGATGGGTCGCGCCGACAGCAAAACAAATCCTATATGTGTGTGTGTGCGTGCGTGTGTGGAGGGTCGACTGATGTCCGTCACGCCTTCGACGAGCCGCCGGCGTCCGTTTGCGTTCCAGTAAGTCCTCCCACCCTGCGTGGTGCCCGTGCGAAGAACCAGGTCCGTTCCGTCGAGTCTGACCCGCTGAAGGCCGCGGCTCCGGCTTCCGCCTCGAGGTCCACCGTGCAAAGGACCAGGCCCGTCCTGTACGGTCTGACCCGCTGAAGGTCGCGGCTCTGGCCTCTGTCCCGCGATCCCCGTGCACAGGACCGGGTCCGTCCCGTCCGGTCTGACCCGCTGAAGGTCGCAGCTCTGGCCTCTGTCCCGCGATCCCCGTGCACAGGACCGGGTCCGTCCCGTCCGGTCTGACCCGCCGAAGGTCGCAGCTCTGGCCTCTGTCCCGCGGTCCCCGTGCACAGGGCCGGGTCCGTCCCGTCCGGTCTGACCCGCCGAAGGTCGCAGCTCTGGCCTCTGTCCCGCGGTCCCCGTGCACAGGGCCGGGTCCGTCCCGTCCGGTCTGACCCGCCGAAGGTCGCGGCTCTGGCCTCTGTCCCGCGATCCCCGTGCACATGGCCGGGTCCGTCCCGTCCGGTCTGACCCGCCGAAGGTCGCAACTCTGGCCTCTGTCCCGCGATCCCCGTGCACAGGACCGGGTCCGTCCCGTCCGGTCTGACCCGCCGAAGGTCGCGGCTCTGGCCTCTGTCCCGCGGTCCCCGTGCACAGGGCCGGGTCCGTCCCGTCCGGTCTGACCCGCTGAAGGTCGCGGCTCTGGCCTCTGCCCCTCCCCTGACAGCCGACGTGAGGTCGACACGGGCCGGTGCCGCCATTTCGCGCCAATCACGCACACGCCAATTCACGAAAAACCGCTCGCGTGCAGCGCGCCGTGCAAAAACCGCCGGCAAAAAGGCCGCCCGCCGACATCTGACCAGCTCTAATGATTCAATATATGTATACAAATCAGATGCGGTCTGAGCGTCGGCCGCGGCGACTCGTCGCCAGCCGGGAAAAAACGCCCCAAGAACGCGGCGTCTTTTTTCCCGGCCAGGCCGAATCATCAGGCCGATCACCCGCACGGAAAGTATTCATACCGGGCATCTCAATTTTACGTCGAACGCGCGCGGCGTTCCCACGCGCCGGCCGGTGCGTGGCGGGCGGCCGGCGGGCGGGCGGGCGGGGGACCCGTCGGCCCGCCGCCGCTGACGACTTCATTTTCCGGCCGGTCCGGTCAGCCGGACACCGGAGCACCCGGTGACCCGGCGGCCGCGCCCGCCGCCCTGCCGGCCGCGCTGACGCGGGCGCGGGCGCCGGACGCGGCGGGAGGCGCCCGCCGGCGCGCCGGGCTGCCGCGAGCGCGCCCTTCCACTGAGATCAAGATGAGACGGGCTGTGCGGTGGAGCGGACGTTCGACAGGTCATTACGCCAATGGTGAAATGTGAAGACCATTGAGGAGGGATCAGAGTTTTTACTTCCGACGCGCTTGGGGCGGTCTTTTGAACGAATGGGCAGACCGCCGCAGAAGTACGATTGCAACAGTTGTGCCAACGGCCTGGCTGATCAGGCAATCGGTTTTTGCTGGCAGCTACGTGGCAAGACGGCTGTTTAGTAACATGCGTACTTTTTGTCGGCGTGGCTTGACCGTGCCTATGAGGCTGTGATTGAGCTGATACACTCGATAAGATGTTGTATTCAGCTGCAGGGAGCGCGCAGATGACTTCCCGCACTAGGTGTGCCTGCACCAATCTCGTCACAGACGCGGAACGGGACGCTTCTGTCTGACGGCGGCGTGGCCGTAGTACGGCCGTTGGGGCCAGTCCGTCAATGCGGACACGACGCGTCCAGCCAGCTGGTTGAAGTCTGGCGAATCAGGCGGATCGGCGGCGAGCGTCCTCCAGCGTGATTAGTGCCGTATCGGGCCGCCAATACATCGATACAGAGATGAACAGGCAAGGGTTAATCATACCGTATTAGTGGTATAAGCAACCGGCGGTCAATGATTAGGCGGAGCTGGCACATATTGCCAATCAAACCGCGCGGCAGGACGCGGATAGCCGGCGCCACGCGGCCGACGGGCGCACCTCGGCCTTTTCCCCGTTATTGCAGTGAGGAGGGAGATGAGAGCCCGGCCGAGAGAGTCTGTCCAGCCGGTCCGGTGACAATCGAAACTCTCATCACGTCCACGGAATGGACGCGACGGCTGCAGTCGCCAGCGATGTCAACAGAACAGCGGCAGACCAGGACACGCACGGGGCGTCTGCAAGGTGGCGGTCTGGAGTGTCGCCATGAGACGCTTGACGTCGGGTTTCAACAGAGCTTTGTGATGTCACCATACGTCAAGCTGCCAAATCAACCGAGGAGACGACAAATGTAGTCGTTTGTCTTGCCTGTACGGCAATAGGTATCAGGAAAATATAACCTGGTGATCGGTCCCTACTGGGCTTGGTGACCGCACTTTCAAACCACGGTCATCGCATGTTTTAAACAAGATTTGATTATTCTGCTTTCAATAGGTCCCATAATACCACATACCTGACGTCTCCCAGCCTCCACGTCTTGAAGACCGGCTGACTGACAGCACTCGGCCATAGCCATCTCCCAGAATGTCCGGGATCCGCGTCCAGGCAGGAGAGACTGCCTCCTGGCCAGGTCAGGCTGATCGCCAGTCCTCCAGCCCCGGTCAGATGGGACAGCCCGCCCCGCTGCTGAGCCAAGCCGCCGGTCCAGCCCGCTGACGACCGGGCGGACCAGGAGCCCGACCGGGCCCGACCCGACGGGGGACCGGCGCCGCGCCGCAGCTCGGCCGGCCCGGCGCCGGGTCAGCGGCGCCCCGCCGTCGCCGGCAGCCAGCGGATATTTGGCACTGGCCGCCGCGCCGCTCTAATGACCGGCGCCTCTCTCCGGCGGCGGCGGCGGCGAGAGCGAGCGCGCCCGGCCGCCGGGCGGAGTGGCGCGCGGCGCTCGGGTCACCGCCGCCACATAAACAACCGGATCGTGCTCTCCGGTGCCGGCGCGATCAGCCCAGCCTCCGGCCGCCGACGCCGCTCAAGAATGCCGCGTCGTGGCCGGCCGCAATATACGATCACATATAGCAGCGGCGGGGCGCACGGGCGCGGTTTTTGCGCTCGTTGAACAGCCCGGGGTGGGCGGGCCGACCGCGGCGCGCCGGCCGGCCGCCCTTTCACGCGCGCCGCCCGGCCGCGCCGCGTGCAATGCGTTCCGGCCGGGATAAACAGCCGAGCGCCGGCCGCTCCTATTCCCGCACCTGCAGACCGCGCGCGCAACCGCTTTCTAATGCCGCGGCGCGCCGGCAAAAAGACGGCATCCGCGGCGCGGCGTCGGGGTTGCGACCCTGTTGACGCCGGTCGTCGGCGCGGCGCCGCCCGGCGATAGCGCTCGTTCCGCCGCTAATGGCGTAATCGGCGGCGGCACACGCCGACGGCCGGTTTCGCACGATTAGCGCATCGGCCGCGACGCCGGACAAATGGCGAGCGGTCGCCGCCGGCGGTGGCAAGGCCGGCCGGGAGCGTGCGCCGCCCGCCCGCCGAGCGGTCCATTACCGTGCGAAAGGCGGCGCGGGCGTGGGCGGCGTCGTCTTCGGCCAGGTCAAGCGCTGGCGACCGGCCGATCGCGCGCTTAATTAGTGTCAAAATTATAGTCCAGCGGCGGTGCCGCCGCCCATAACCGAGCGCCAAATAAAAACCCAGCGCCGCGGAGGCACCGACACTGAATCCATTACGGCAGTTAAACAGCGAGGCGTTAATTATTTTTTACCCGTTGCCGGCGCGGATTCGACATTCATCAGCACGGCCGCGCCGCCCGCCGGCGGGACGCGAAATACCATAGCTCATCGTCGCGGCGGGCCGTCGGCGATGCGCCGCCGGCGCCGGCCGGGCCGCATGGAGCTGTCAGAGCGCCGACCGCGCCGGCCGCGCCGGCCGCGCCGCGCCGCACCTGCGGGCTGACCCGACTGGCCCAGGCGCGGACGGCGCGAACGGTGCGGCCACGGCCGACAGCCCCGCGCACTGGCCCACCTGACGTCACTCCGCGGCCGTCGGCCCGGACGCGCGCACTCAGGCAAAAAACCATTCCAGATCCGAATTGACGGTCGTAAAAAGGGTCCTCTCTCATGCGAAATTGGGAAAGGTCATCTACCCGCGCGGCGTTTTTTCTCTCTCGCCCGAGCCGAGCGGCACTCTCGGGCGCCGGGACGCCCGGAACCGGTCGGCGCGCGGCCCGGCCGGTCCCAATCATCCGCGGCCATCGCTGCCCGGCCAAACGAGTCCCGCGAAACGCGACCTGGCCCGCCGCCGCCGCCCGTGTGAAATCGCCGGGGAATGGCCGCTCGCCCGCCCGGCGGCCGCATCAATAAATAATCCGGCCCGGACGCTCGAGATGCCCCGGAATGCGGCCGACAACAATGAGTGAAAAATCCGCGCAGATCAGCTTTTGGCAAAGGTCGTCGACCGGGGCGAGCAGGTGATAAACAGCCGAGAGGCGGCGGCTGTACCGCACGCCGCCGTCCCGTCCGCGACCGGCGGCGGCGCTGGCCGGAGCCGAGCAGTCCGGCAGAGCGGCTCTGCCGTCGCCCAGCTGACCGGCCGGCCGGGTCAGCGCGAAGGCGGCGTCACACCCGAGCGCCCGGTCACGCCAGGTCGGCGGCGCCCGGCGCCGGCGGCCAGCCGCTGCGTGCACGCACGCGGCCGTCATGAGTGGCGTGCCGGCTGGCCGTGCCAGGCGGACGACATCGATTGGGCGGCGGCGACCGGCGCGGGCGCGTCGCCGCCGCCGCCGGACCCCGCACCGCCTCCCAGCGGCCCGGCCACCGCCATTAGACGCCAAAAACAAAAACGTTGACAGCCGGCCGGCCGGATTAAACGACTCCTTCCAACGCGAGCGGCGGCGGCGGCGGCGGCCGGTGGGCGCCCCTCGCCGCGCTCGGCGCTTCCGTGCCGGCCGCGCCGCCGCCTCCAGCGCGATGATTGCACTGAGCGCCGGGGCGGAGCTTCTGCGCCGCGCCGCCCGAGGGCAGCAGCGGCGCAGGCAACGAACCGCCGTGCAATAACAGACCTAGGCCAACGTCTTCTCCATTGGCCTATAACTCAGAATGCGGTCGCTAGCTATTCGCTTCAATGCACGGCAAAAACGGGCAGAAAAACGCGCAAACAGCTGGGTAATGACAAACAAATCACAGAAAATGACATGCTACGATACAGGGATATGGGAAAGGGAATTGGGAAGCGGAGCGCGCTGCGCGCAGACAAACAACTGATGAATATGCATGGATAACTGCACCATGACACGGGAGTCCGCGAGAGGGCGACAGTTTCGTGGATGGACGGGACAACTTTCGCCGCGACGTCCCGCGCGGCGCCGGCCGCCGACTCGCATCACTCTCGAGCGCCCCTGACAGTGTCTCGAGCAGGCGGGGGTGGTCGCCAGGGGCTGCCTCCTACATGAGACCGGGGCCGAGTGTGATCTGCCGGCGAACGGCGCCGGCGACGGGCCGGGGTGCCCAACACGGCAGTCGATCGACTGTGCGGTGCCGGCTCGCCGGGCCGCGTACGCCTGTGAAGAAACGCGGGCGAGCTAGCAGAAAGGCAGACGGAAGGACGCACGGAAGGACACACGTAAAAACGGACACGCAGACACATGCAGACGGACGAACAGGCGGGCAACAGTCAGTCGGTCTGTTCATATATACCTTTCGAGTCACAGTGCACGCTTATACAGACAGTAAGCGTGCATACGTCCCCGCACACAGACACACACAGACACACAGACACGCACGCACACGCCACGCACGCACGCACGCACGCACGCACGCCACACACACACACGCACCACACACACACACACACACACACACACACACACACACACACACACACCACACACACACACACACACACACACACACACACACACACGCACACCCGGCCAGACACACAGACACACACACGCGGCCGAGGGGCGGCAGGACACGGACACGCACCGGACCGGAGTGAAAGGTGAAATTGGAATAATAAGTCGGGCATCATTGCACGGTGACGTGCGCCGGGCGGCGATTCGCGGCGATAACGCGGGCAGATGTGCCGCGCGATACTCACACAAATTGGAGTCCCAGTGGGGCGGCATCTCGCCCACGGAGCCGTTGCTGATCTGGAAAACGGCAGACGGACGCCGGTCAGGAGCGGAAGGAGCGGGCGGGTGCCGGCGCCTGCCAGGCTCGTCGCAATGGTATGCGGCGAGAAGCGGGCATCGCCAGAGTTTGCGCGACAGTGACAGACACTTTCAAGCAGACTGGGCCTGCCGAATGCGTTGCGTGAAATGTGTAGAAAGTTAGGCAAACTTGCCTGCTGTTTGGTATCGTGCTTCTCGCCAGGAGCTTTACACTGTTATTAATTCCGCAAATGTTTGGTCACAATATGGACCCCAGGGAGCGCGAGTACTATGGAGCCCTGGGGTCCTATGGAGTACCTCTTGTTGCATCTGCATTGCCGCCGGGTTTGGATCCTTAAGTTAAGGGCCGAAGAAACGGCATAGCGAGACAAAGTTTCGGTTTTCGGGGTGGTTTATGATGAAGTACTGAGCTATGGGACAACGATCTTTTAGTCGTTCTTGCAAAACTAACATAAGGTGACCTTCTAGCAGGTCCACCTGAAAAGCCCGATCCGTTTACAAGGCGAGGTCCGCCAGATCACATAACCGACGGTCGACGTGACAACGCAGAATCTGGTAACGGATGAACTTAACAGAACATACCGATGATGTGACACGGCAAACACGTATCTGGTTGCATTGTGGCATCCCGTCAAATGACGCTAACTCGAGGTCATACCAGCGACCAGACACTTCCTTGTTTGGCGAATGACGACAAGACAACTTCTGCACCTGAAACTCCGTAGCGCTTCGCGATGTTGTGGCTTCGCCATGTGGATGACGCGATTATAATAATCTCACATAGGCACTTTTTTTTGCCAAGGTCTGAGATGCGCGATTCCCGGTGCCGCTGAATCTCCGTTCAAAATACGTCGGATTCCCACCACCACAGCTTCTGCTATAAAATGACAGGTGACACCGTCACGTTTCACGGCAGCGTACGGCGGACAAGCAAGCTGTGGTAGGCCCAGGACGGAGAGCGGGTCAGCAGCGTGGACTGCACCCATGCGGCGGCGGCGGCAGGTGTTCGCCGCCCCGCCCCGTCGGCCCCGGTGCGCCAGGCCGATCCCGCCCGTCAGCCGCGACGCGGCTCGTCGCCTCGCGGTCCGCTCCGGGCACGTTGACACTGCCGGCGGCGCGGCAGCAGCGCCGTGAAATTGCCGCGCGCCGCCGCCGTCGTCAGTGCGTCGGTTTTGCCGCGCGGACCGGTGGCGCTGGCGTGTTTTTGCCGCCGGTTGCGCTCCGTCGGCGCGGCGCCGCTCTCACACGGCCGCCGCGGCCGCACGCAAAAAGAAACCACGCCCCCCCGGCCCGCCCGGCCGGCCGGCCGGCCGTCAGATGGACGCCGCGCGCGCTGTCATCAGCCAGCCCGGTCCCCAGGCAGCGCCGCGAGCCGCGCTGGCCACGCGGCCCCACCGGCACTGGCGGGCCGTTCTGGTGCGGTGACTGCAAGCTGCGCTTGTGTCAGGTGTCACGCTCATTCGCATTCTATCCGATATCCAACGTGCCGTCTCGCCGTCATGCTTGTCCGCAGTCGGTGTCTTGGCGTGAATTTTGAATCGGCCGGAACACCATCTCCTCGACTTCAGCCTGAAGTGGCTGCCATCTTACACCGTCCGTTCACACATTGGTTAGGTACTGGTCGGGTCGAGGTGTCATTCAGGATTCACGAGTGCGGATTCACGAGGAGGACAAGTCGGAATATTTCCAAAGCCTCACACAAACTTTGCCGGCAGCGGAATTAAGCAAATAACATCTTGATAGAAAAGCAAATCGATGCATTAGCCGGTGTCAACACTGTCACGTCCAATTGTCCAAGCCCACTTGTGTCTCAAAGAGGAAACAATATCTGAGATTCAAACTGATCATAACTAAGAAGAAACCGAAACTATCCCTAGCAATAGTATGGTTAGAGCCTTAAGGGCTAACTAAATATTATATCGGAGAAATAGGCAGCAGTTGACTGCTGTAAACCTCCCTGTCCTACGAGCTCTGGCATAAATCAAAAGAAAAGTAGCTTTGGCGAAGGCGAAGCGACTGCGTAGAACATGTCCGGCCAAAAGCACACCCACAAAATGCTTGGAAACGCATTCTTTCCGATATCCAACTTATCCATCTACCCTTACACAGCTATCTACCCAGAAGAATCCGAGCTGGTGCCCTACCGGCGCCGCGACCTGTCGCACGGCGGTCGGCCTAGGGGGAGGGCGCCGCGGCGCGCCGGCTAACGGCACGGTCGCCACGCCGGCCCGACCTCTCGCCGCCTCCGCCCGGCCGGCGCACGCCCTCCCGATATTCAGATCACCGCGCCAGTGCCGCTCACGCCCTCCCAGCGCCCGTTGCACGTTCCGAAAGTGCGGCACGCACAGCGCGCCATCATAACGGCGCGCGGGCGCACGCATAAATTCCGCCGCCAGCGGCCAGCCTTTCCGCGTGTAACTGGGTTAGGCCGCCAATAAAGCGTACTTTCATCCGGCCGGCGGCGGCGGCGGCGGCGGCGCGGCCGCGCGGCCGGCTTGTTTGCTTGCACTGGCGCGCACATAACCCGTTCGTTGCCGTCTGGCCGCGGGGCGGGCCGCGCGGGCCGCCGCCCGGCCGCCGCACCGCCGCCGGCCGGGCGGCGGCGGCGGCGGCGGCGGCAGCGGTGTGCCACTCAGCGACGCAGGGACGATGGAGCTGGGAAACGGTCGGAATCGCTGGAGCAGGGAAGTGGGGTCATTGAAGAAGGGCGCGCCTAATGGAGCAGGAATATGATCATTGGAAAGGGGCGTACATGCGCACTAGACCGAGGAGAGGACCATTGCAGAAGGGGTGTGACCACAGGAGCAGGAGCATGGGAAAGGCTCAGTGGAGAGAGGCATGCTCGCCGCGGCAGGAACGGAATCACTGGATAAGGGACACACTCGCCGGAGCAGGACAGTCCTTGGAAAGGCACACGCTTGCTGGCTCAGAAGCACTGCCACCTGAGGGCGAGCATAATCACGGGGCCGGTAGCGCGATCAAGCAAACATTGCCCGTATCTCCCCCGGACCTGGAGCCGGCCACTGGAGTAGTGGCGGAGCGGCCAGAGCAGCGGCCGGCGGACTGCAGCCATCGCCGGCGCTGCTGCACGCTCGGCGTGCATGCACTGCCGCGCACACATGCCGTGCGGCGGCGCATGCAGCCGTGCAAGACCAGACCCACACCACGGCGCCTTGGTGCAGGTCACGGCACCGCGTCCATCGGCGTGTCTTGGGGGCACGCGTCCGTGTCTGCTCTCTGCGGGACGCGTCAGGCCGCCCGGCCACCGTGCAGCTGCCTTCATCGAATCAACCGTGCCAGTATGAGACAGGACAAACAAAAAACTGGCCACGCCAGTTATAGACCATGACGTGTGTCCGATGGGTAAGTAAATTTCGTCCGGACAATTGGCCCTTACCAAGTCATCGACAGGTTCATCGCGCGGCCAAAGCGCCGCCGGAGGGCACAAACGTGCGCATAAAGCGCGGCACCAAGGGCGCTGATGAACTGAACAGCCTGTCATTACTGCATGCAGGATAACATTAAATTACCCCACCAGAGGTTGGGGCAATCATTACCAAATTAACAGCGCCGGGAAAACAGATCGCCACCGGCAATAAGCTCTTCCGCAGCATAAAGCAGAGGTTTAAAGCACGTGTATGTCGTGTGCTGCAGCGTGCCGACGATAACTGAGAACACGTCCAAGATCGCGTGATGACTGATTGTGGCAGACCCCACCGATGCCTCCTGGTTTCATCGGGTGACCAGCTGTCATGATGGAAGCAGCATTGTCGATCAGTGGAAGTGATCGGCTCATTCGATGTGAATGATGAGGACCAATGATGAAAAACTATTAAAACATATGTAAACTCCATGGTGGGGGCTTTAAGGTTTCCAGAGGATGCAGCTGCATCCAGAACACACACACACACACACAAAAACGTTAGAAATACGGCGATGCATGGAAAGAGCAAAATTACAAAGCCCATTTGGATCTACAACTTTTTTGGCAAAGCTTTGTTTGCGAACTTTGCCATCCAGCTGCAAAATTGTGAGTTACCTACGTACATAATTCGAATGCAGAGCATTCCAGTCACGATAAAGCAAAACTGCGCATGACATGGCAGTAGCACCAAAGTTAGGAGACGGTGATAACAAGATGATGGCAATATACCCTTCATGACACCTGTCCTGCTGCCGACTAGCCATCCAGAAATTGCGAGCACACGCGTTCATTCCCACACACAACTTAACGCCGATACCTGGCATGCACATCCTGGTCTCACCCATCAAAAATCCTAAACTCTCATCAGCGCCGTCTGCTGACACCAGGTGCGGACTACGCCGACACCAGGCGCGGACTGACGCCAGAACACCGATCAGACACAGTGAGCCGCGACACGGCCCCGGAGATCGGGCCGACCACGGTGCCTCTGTGCAGTGGCGCCGACACGGCTCCGAGCATGGCACGGAGTACCAGGGACCAGCATGGTGACACGCCTGCCAGGAGCAGACTCCCGGGCTCCCGAACAGGCGGCAGGCAAGCTCTCGCACTCGACTAACGTCAAGCAACGCATCCGCGCGTGGATACATACCGCTGACGTGCTTCCCAATACTGATGCCCTCCGCATGATTTGTTTGCAATGCTCGTGACACTCTCTCAGTGTTGCGTTGGTGTGTGCCGTGTATTTTTGACGGATGGTTCGTGTGTTTGCAGGGCCATCTGCGGCCGCCGTTGACATCTGGACATCTCCCTGCGTGTTTTGTCCCGCTGTTCACAGTATGTCTTGTGCCCGCAGTGCGGTTTTTTCCTTCGGACCGTGTCATGTGTAAGCCGCGAAGCCCGCCTATTGCAAAGAGACACCCCGCGTGTTCGCCGTTTGTTTATTACGCTGTCAACCGGCACGCCGCTTTGTTTCCGCTCAACAATGCACCATTGGATGCCGTTCGTCCGCTGGTTTTCGACCATTACGGACAGGCATGCCGCGCACGTATCGTGTACTCGCAGCTTGTTTAACCCATCGCTGATTGATACGTGGTGCATCTGCTCTGTGTCGAGACCATTCTCGACACATGTATTATAATGTGTGTTTTTTATCTCTCCCAGGTGTTTAAGCTGCTGGTGACCGCCATGCCCTGTTTGCACTGTGTGTTTTGATGCGCTTATTTGTATGCCGTGCGCCGTCTGTGTGTTCAGCCCGACGTCAACAGGTATGCCGCACATCCCCTGTGTGTTCAAGCCCCCTGGTGACAGGTATGCCGTGAGCTCCCCCATCTGTCCAGCCCCTTGGTCAGCCGACACGCCTGTCTTCCCGGGCGGTCGACGCCGCCGTCGCCGGGTCGGCGGCCGGCGCGCGGTGTCCGGGCGCGCGCGGCGCGGCTGACCGGTGGCCGCTGTCACCGCCGCCGGCCGCCGGCGGGTCGCGAATCGGCGGCGGCCGGCCGGTTTTTGCGCGACACCAGGACCGCCCGGGCCGCCCCGGTTAGCGCGGCCCGCGCCACAAAAAGCGCCGCGCTGTCGGCGCCGCGCAATTAGCGGCCGGCCCGGCCCGTGACCGTGGCTATGTGGCGCTCCAGGCGCAAATAATGGCGGGTCATACTCGAGCGCCTGCGGCGGCGGGCGACACTCCCACGCCGCCGATCGGCCGTCGCCGCGGCCCGTTACCGCGCGCGCGCGCGCGGCTCGCCGGCGCCCTGCTCCGTCGGCCGCGACGCGCCGCCGCCGACACCGGGCGCCACGCACGTGAACCGACTGGCGATCCGGCGCCGGCTGCCGGCCGCCGGCCGCGATCTGCATGGGCGCCCGGCCGGCCGCGCTGGCAAAAACGGACATTACCCCAACAGGTCGTTACTCTGCGCGGCTCTTTACGACCAGGAAGGGCCAACTAGCGCAGAGTCAAAGAACGCATTCATTCTGCAGGAATTAGGGGGGAGAGGCGGAGAGATGAGAAAGTCCTGGGCCGGTGCACGCCGGGCGCCGGCCGACCGCGAGATAAATCAGCCGCGCTGGCTTCAATAATAAGCCGGCGGGCGGGCCGGCGGCGCAGCGCAAACAGCGCCGCAGCGCACTGCATTCAGCGGCGGCCGGTTGGGGCAGGTCGCCGGCCGGGCGGCGCGCCGAGCGCGGCGGCGCAGCGAGGCGTACACGCGTGCACGCGGCGCACCGCCGCACGGCAGGCGGCCGGCTCGGCTGGCAAATGCCGTCACGGTGCCGCAGTCGAGATTGCCAGGCTCGTGAACGGAGGCGCAGCAGCCGGCGCAGCAGCGGATGCCGCGGCACGGACTCGCACACACGCGCGCGCGCGCGCGCCCGCTCGCAATGGAGCTCCTGATGAATCGTGCTGCCGTGAAAATGGTGCACCGCTGATGGGACAGACAGGAAGCGTGCGGTCCTTCCGAGTGTGTCAGTGGCGGGGTTGAAATGAGAATCAACGCGCGTTCGGTGCTCACTTCTGAGCACGCCGCTTACCAGCACATCAGTGATTAAGTGGAAGCCCTCCAGTACGCAAGGCAGTATTGCAGGACAACGTAAACCAGACAAGCGAACCTGCTTTTCGGGGTTACAAAAAACTTCACACAGTTTTTAGCCACTCACCATACTTTCTTCTGTCTGTGCCAAAGTATGCCTGGACAAACGCATGCGTTGTACACTTTGTGATCACGAGATGAACAGCAACATCCACGCACATCGGTCGTGGGTGGAGTTGCGGCAAAGGCAAACGTTGCCTCGAAAATGAACTCAGCAAAACCCTTCTAACATGTAAATGATGGCACCAAAGTGAGTCAACAAGCTATCAAGTTGTTTTCCTGCATGTCTGAATCAGTATTTGACAGGACTCCGTCAGTGGCATTACACGTTATAATCCATTATAAACGTCTCATGCCACATTAGCAGGCACAGCGCTGGACAACAATAGTGGAAGCTAACACTGCCACCGGGCATCTGGTCATCGAGCACGTATCAACGGTTCTTTCCGGCGGCTCAAGCGTCGGAGAAATCTGCGTTTCTTTTTTACGTCCCTATGCCTGAGATTCAAGCAGAGAACACAAGCCCTTCGCATTCAAATGAAGCCTGATAAATGACCACGACACGCTGAGTCCCATCACGTCAGACTCGGTTCATGATATCGGCGCGGTCACCAGCACCATCCAAGTCAATCCGGGCCTATCAGACAGAGGTAGCCATCGGGGGTAGGCCTCAACCCAGACGAACCCGGACTCGGGCTCGGACTCACTCTCTGGGACCTAATATCATTCTGGTAGGGTAGGTCAGGTATGTTTCGCTTGGTTTCGGTTCACTTCGGTTAGGTTTGGATGACTTGAATTAGTATGAACCGGTTTGCATAAGATTCAGCGCCGCCTAATCGTGCCTCAGGGAGGCCATAAGCGCATGGTTACACTTTGGTCATCATACCCGCCTGCAGTTCCGCAACACTTTCAATGCCGGAAGGTGTCAGTACGCGATGGCTACATTTACATCACTGAGAGTGGACTCAGAACCGGGATTGAACACTTCATACAAGGCCTGGGAACCGGTCTCCTATAACGCGAGCTCGGACTCGATCTCCAAGGACTCGGACTCGAAGTTCGGACTCCGAGCCTGAAAAATCAGACTCGGATCTGACAACCGTTCACTCGAGCCTCAGACCCATGCTCGGGCTGCTCAAGACACCCGTAAATGGGCTCGAATTATTGCTTCTGGACTCGACATATGTCTGGTAACGGCACGTGCGTGTATTGCTCCTGATGTCTATCACCGACGGGTGCAGCCACGGCAGACACCTATGCAGTCCCCGCGTTTAACACGGGGCAGACGGAGCCGCAGAAGACACCTGCACCAAACCCGTGTCCACTACGGGCGCAGCCACGGCAGCGACCCGTACGCACCACCCCCGCGTTTCCAGCAGACACCTGTACCAGGTGCGTAACCCCAGCGCCAGCTAGCCCGCGGCGGCAGGTACAGTCCTGGTGCAGACATACGCCTGCAGGTGCGGCCATGGCCGGCCGGCCGGCGGTGGCCGCCTCCCTGCCGTTTCCCAGCAGACACCTGTACCAGGTCCGTAACCCCAGCGCCAGCTAGCCCGCGGCGGCAGGTACAGTCCTGGTGCAGGTATACACCTACAGGTGCGGCCATGGCCGGCCGGCCGGCGGTGGCCGCCTCCCTGCCGTTTACAGCAGACAAGCGGCAGCCCCAGCGGACACCTATGCCAGGTCCGTAACCCCAGTGCTAGCTAACCCGCGGCGGCAGGTGCAGTCCTGGTGCAGGCATACGACTACAGGTGCGGCCATGGCCGGCCGGCCGGCGGTGCTCCTGCTCCCTGCCGCTCACCTTGTCTATGTCGGGCTCGCTGGTCGGCGTGCTGGGCGCGCCGTGGTTCTCCTCCGACCCCGTGCTGGACATGACCTGCGGACACGGACGGCGGTCAGCAGTCGCCCCGCGGAGGGCCCGAGCAGCGGCGGCGGCGGCGGCAGGGACAGATACCGGGACAGGGACGGGGACAAGGACAGGAGCAGAGAGAGGAGACAGGGACAGGGACAGGGACAGGGACAGGGACAGAGACCGGGACAGAGACAGGGACACGTACAGAGACAGGACAGGGACGGACAGGACAGGGACAGGGACAGGGACAGGGACGCATGTGGCGGGCTTGGCGGAAATCCATCGAAAACAGGCGAGCAGGTGGAAGACAATCATAGTGCAGGTGTTGTACGGGTAAACAATGATGAGCTGTACGATAGTCGGTGCCAGGAGGCGGACGCCCATGCATCGTCGGTCGATTCTTGGACGTTCTTGATTGATCAGCTGAACATCACTGGGCCGGCACTGATGTAGCAGCGTGACGGGCCGACGGCCGTTGCCTCAGGCGCCGGGCTCGGAATAAAGCCCTTCCTCCACACACTCGTCTCGAGCGCTCTCCGGCGCCGCTAACATTTTCCCACGAGCGTTCAAATCTGCAGCACGGTGACTCCCAGAACAAAACAAGCCCAGCCAGCCAGCAAGCCATCGCGACTCCCCCGCCCGCGGATCCTCCCCTGCCACGCCGGCCCGGGCGGGTGCCGGAACACAGCTCGTCGTCTTTCGGCGGGGTGTGGACGCCCACTATCGGCGCTCTCCGGGCCAGAGCGCCGCCGCGCCCCCGATACGGCAGTCCCGGGAAATCGCACTGGTCGGCCGTTGCCCCGGCCAGGTAGCGGAGAGGACCCCAAGACCGCTCCAGCGTCCCGCGACGGCACCATTTTTCATTATCGGCTCCCTCCATCAAGGTCACGTGGCCTAGCCGTGGCGAAACACGGAAGGGTAAAGTGCGGCAGGTGGCTCGCAGGTAGCCGCGAGCAGGCGGCGGACGGCCGTAGTGCGCGCACGCGCCCCTCTGCCGAGCCCCGCCCCTTCCGAGCGCAGGCGTCGCGTCGCGTCGCGTCCGTGCCCCGTGCCCCTGGCCGGAGAGAGACAGAGCGAGAGGGGTGTCGGCCCGGCAGGACCGCCTCCTCCACCGCCGCCGAGCCGCCGTCGCGCAGAACGCCGCAAACCGGTTGGAGCGCGGAGCCCGGTCATTAGCTGGGAATCCCTATCTGATGCCTCTCCCCGGACGACGACCGGGGCGCAGCGAATAGAAACAACCGTTGGATTTAATTGACGAGAGCGAAAAGGCAACGTCGGGGCGGCTCACATTATCGCCCAGGATGTGTTGGGAAGATTGGCCACGGGTGAAACAGGGCCTCCGTGCGCGACCGCACGGTTACAAGTAGAAATGGCGACAATCTAATTCTAGGGACTCAGACACCATCACAGCAAAACTAGACCTGGTAACACCCAGGCGACCGTATTTTTTGGCCGACACACCGCAATTAAAGTCCGCGCTCATTTCTAACACCCCATCCCAAGCAGCATTAAAGAGATTAGGTTAACCGGAGACGTTTTCCAGCCAGATGTTTTATAGCAAGGCGACAATTTGTGCCAGCTGACAGTTTCACAGTACCAATGTCAACTCACAGTGCCACGGCCTGAAGTACTGACATGATGTGGGTGCCTGCAGATCTGTAGCGTACTCACCGCCAAATGGACCCATGTTGAAGCAAACTTCGCAGAAATATCGCAGCGTTCAATTGCTACCGCATGCAAAAAGGGAGGATGCGACATGCAGCATAGAAAGATGACCCAATATTCCACTCCTTTATTACCATGCCACATCATAATATACTGGGTGTGAAACGCCTCATCTACATTGCTTTTGACAAGCTGTTTCCTCTCACATACAATATTTTCTGAAACTACGGAATAATTATTCGTTTGGCATTCTGAACTGTCGCAAATCAGACATTATATTGAGCCAACCCAGCGCATCGCACAATGCCGAAACCTTACGAACAGAAGCTGCAGCCGGCTTGTCGGACGCAGAAGCGGTCGTTCTGACCATTTTGCCCGAAATATGCTACACGAATAACTGTGAAAAGCCGACACGCTCAGTGAATTGAGAATGCCATCACTTGGCAGCCGTTAGCATAGCTGGAGGGACTTCAATTAACTGTACCGCCAACTAAAATGACCAGTCAGACCATTAGGATGCCAAACCTGAAACATTTTTTAAATGATAACGAACCATCCTGGTAAAAAGTGCTCTGCATTAAAAGGGTAACGAGGAAGAGACTACAGCAAACGCCGCTTCACGGATATATATATAAACCAATAAATCTAATGGGTGGCGTGCTCTGTGAGATAACGCGCCGATCAAATTAGCATTATCACGCAGATAAAAAGAAACGGGAGGGCAGGTAATTACTGGGCAGCCAACGAGAAAACGACTTGTTCCGCACTTTTGTCAATTTGCTTTTATACCATAACTACTGCTAACACAACATGACGTCATTGAACACTTCTAGGCCGTTGCCGCGTGCTGTGCGGTTGGCTTGATATGGTGGAGCTTAAGCTTGTTTACTGAAGCAAGGAGGCTGACATCCGATCCCAGCGCGGCGTGGCTTGATAGCTGCCAACTCGACGGCGCCTAGCACCCCTGCCCCACCGGCACTCTGCACCCCTGTCCCACCGCCGCTCTGCACCCCTGTCCCACCCGTGACTAACACGGCCCATGAGCCGCCGGTGCGCGGCCGCCGCAGCGCTCCGACACGAGCCCAGACCGACACCATCGCATGCCCGTACACACAGCGTCGGGGCGACCGCAAAACCGCGCCACCGCCTTCCACACTGCAAGTTGCGTTATTATTCAAACAAGCTTCTTCCTTTCGCACCAGCGGGCCAGTTTTTGCGGCCGGCCGGCCGCTACAAATACTGGCCCGGCCGGCCGGCCGCCGCGGCCGCCGGGACGCCGCAGCCCGGGCCGGGCGACACCGCCGGGTCCGGACCGACAGCGACAGGTCTGGAGGGTGGTCCGCACAGCGCGGACGGGCCTCGTAAACGTGCCTCGCCGGCGCGCAGTTAAGGACCCTCGAGGCATGCCGCTGTGATTAGTCGAGTCGCTGGGAGGACTGTCCGCATTTCTCAAGTACTCTTTCAGAGGGCGGACGTAAGCGGACACATCTCATTACTGATCCAGTGGCAATGTCGAGAGACATAGATCTACATTATCAGAGGGCTATCAAATTATCAGTGCCGATCAATGCCGAGGCAGCCCGGCCGCCCCGATCCCGTTTGGGTCCAGCCTAGGCCATCCCGACACCCCGGGTCAATCTGCCCTGAGAAGAGGTGAGCACCCTCGCGTTGACCAGCGCGCCACGTGCCCACGCGCGGCCCGACCCGCCCTGGGGCGAGGCCGGGCCGACCGGCGCGGGCCGATTGCAGTCCGGCTAACCGACAGGCGGCGGCGGCGGCGGCGGGTGGCACGGGCGCGCCGTCGGCCAGCGCCGCCCGATCACGACCGGCGACCACCCTGGCGGCGGCCGCTCGCCGCACTGCGGTGCCAGAACGGCGGCGACACCGGCAGCCACGCAACCTGGCAGCCGGCCACACACGGGCGACGTCCCATGGTAATCTCGGGAAAAACAGACTGGTTGCTTATCCAGTGTGTTCGTTTGCCATGTGAGGTATTGAAAGACGTGTTTCTCCTGCTCGAACACAATAAGCAAAAACCGCTCCGCAGCCGCGGTAGCGCACCCGAATACGCAAAAATAACGGATATTCCGCCATTTCGTTTGTAATTACATTCGGAGCCAATAGCCCCACAGCACACCCGTGCGACAGACCATCAATAACAAACAAGGTCTTACTAAGGAAAGCCAGCGACCAGTCAGTGGCACCAGCCGGCCCTGAATTCGGATGGTCTATTGAGGTCTGCAACACGTGCCTGAACTCACTCCGCTAGGTGTCACATTAACCCAACGGTGACGCTTTAAGCGAGCGGAAGTTGCCGACAGCTCTCGCCAGTCAGCCAGCCCCGACCCGACAGCAACTGGCCCTTGGACCACGGACCGGACCAGGTCCGCGGTCCGCACAACCCCGACCAGCCCTGCATCCGCCGGCCGCCCGCGGTCCTGTCCTGCGGCCGTTCCGCGGGCCGGCCAGGTCATTCGGCGGGCCGGACCGGCGGCACCACTGCGCGCCGCCGGAACGTCGCGCCGCGCGCTCCGCCGTCCTTTCTGCAAGAGCTGGCACGCTAAACTGCGGCGGCGGCGGCGGTGGCGCCCGATCTAACGAGCGGCGGCCGGGCGGCGGCCGGCCGTGACCACTGGGCCGCCGCTTCACGCCGGGCGCCCGGACACTATGTAAATCGGGCGGCGCGCGGGCACGCAGACGCGGCGAGCGATGACCCCCGGAATGGGACGCTGGCGCTGGCCAGTCGCCGCCGGCCATCGCGCCGACGCGTATCGGGGCGGCCGTAAAGCAATTTAGCGGAGATCTGAACGGTAATGGCGACTCGCTCGGGAATGCGCCCGGCGCTCGCGTTTGCTGACGATATTCAAAGCGCTGTGGCGCCGGCGGAGCACGGGAGCCGGGATTGTCCTTTCTTGCATTGAACAACAGGGAGGAAACCACCACAGCGGCAGTCACCGCGACGGTATCGCCCCACGCAACACAGTATGAAGCTGGTGACACAATGCAAATTGATTTACATGATTATCGCAACAGGCAATGAGTGTGGGAAACGACGATGGGCTTATTTTTTTAGCTACATAAGCTCCCCGCTGTCAATGCTTTGGGAGGAAAGGTGTGGCTGTCTTGTGCAAAAATGGCATTTCAATGCGCTTTCGAACGAGCGCCTACAGCCAGGAAGACGCCTAGTTGGCAACAGCCAGGTGACAAATGACAAACCGGTGAGCATTATCCAACCGAATGAAAAAGTAAGCATGTATATATAAACATATATATATATATATATATATATATATATATATATATATATATTCTGCCCATTCCTTCCATTCCAGCTAAATTCAGGCACATTTCAACTTTCA